AAGCGTGAATTTCCATTTAAATACTCATCCGTTGTGCTCTGTGATAAGACCTTTGGGACATCTAAATAAAATTAAAAAAAAGTTATATGTACACTAAATACCTATACCCCTAAATAGTGTTTAGTTCAGCAAATTACTAAAATCGTCAAAATCATTGCGAGTTGGTGTGATCTAGACAAAACCGTTTTTAGACATAAATTTCAAAACATTCAAGCACAAAACATACATGTAGTTAAAAAAAAGGTTTTTAATTGCATTTATTCCGTAGTTTATACTATTTTTTCCCCGGCATTTCGGCTAATTAGATTTCAGCGTCTTCTATACAAGTTATAAGTCAATTAAAAATGAGTAAACGAGTAAATTAAGGAAAACGCTAAGCAGTAGCGAGAAAGTTTTGGCTTTGCCAAAAATTTGTAGCTAAATGCTGCCAAAAATTCTGTTTCAAAGCCAAACCTGTTTATTACTATTTTTGTCCCGTGTATTTTTAGTTTTTCAAGAAGAGTTTTCTACTGAACTATTTTCTTTATTAAAATTACGTACTGATGCAATGAATCTGCTTTTTGATGTCTTAATTTCAGTCTTAATATATGGATGAAATGTCAATAAAATAGCATTTAGATTATGATAGAAAATCTGACAGAATTTTATTATTTACCGTACTTTCATAATTCTTCCAATGATAAAAATATTCATATTATTTTCGATTCTCTATATTTAGTAAAAAGTTTAAATTTAAAAATTTACGTAGGCATAACAATGAAAATAATTATGAAATTGTTTCTTGTCAACACATCTTGTTTTTTCCATTATTCGAAGCAAAGCTTTTTTACACATGGCTAGATAGCTTATTCAAAAAGATTTAGGTGTGCAGACTCTTTTTAAATTCAGTTATCACTAGTTTTTAAAATGGAAAAAATTTTTATGACATTTTTAAATAAATATCTTGAAAGAAAAGGACTGGCTAAAATTCTTATCAATAAAAATAATTTTCTCTTGGTGAATATCAATGTCTGCATACTACCTATAAACTTATGTAACTCTAACCGCAAAGCATTTTGGGATTCCTTGCTGGACCAAATAGTCACACTCAGTGAAATAATTTAAAAGTAATAACTTTGAAATATTTCAAAAGTAAAAAATTTTGTATTATTCTTACCAGAGAGCTTCCTATAAACAACGCTTTTCTTTTATAAATCAAAATAATTTTAAAACTATTTCATAACATTGCTTATATGACATTTATATATAATCTAACATTAATATGTTAACGCAGTTAAAATTTGATATAAATTTCACATGTTTTGCATAAGTCTTTTTAATCACGTTATCACTGTATTCGTTTCATATTAGTTTAAATATATACCTTTTATTTAGAAATTAAATAAATAGTTAATAATACTGAGAGAAAAAATAACAATTTTGAATAAGAAATATCTTTGTTAAATGATCTTTAAAATAAAATCAAACATGGATAATGCGAGCTGATTTTTTTTTACATGCCTTGTTTTGTGGTATCAGATCTCGATTATAAAACCTTATAAAATAAAATGATCTCATATAAACAAAGTGTCTGATTAAAATTTCTTCCAAATAAAAGGCATGATCAACATGTTCAACGTAAATTAATGTAAAATTACAACTGTTTTTTATTACTTTAACAATTTGTTAATATTTATTTTTAGTTAATAAAAGTTTCATTTTCCATATAAAAACAGTTTCCATTTCATAAAATTTCATAAGTTTTTTAAAAAAGAATCAGTATTAGATAAATTACTTTCCCAGGGTGTCATACTTGAAAGAGCTTGTACACAATTTTGATAGACTTTCTTTTTCAAATCATCTGCAATTGATTTTAAAACTTGTTTAATTGACTGTGAAATGAATCAGTTGAAATATTTTGTAATGCATAAGGTTGTAGTTTTTTTTTTTAAATAATGCAGTTGGCTGTTTGACAATCAATTGTTCATTTGTAGAGATTTGATTCTCAAATACTATGTTGGCAATTGAGCACTGGCAATAGTAACTGCAGCAGAGAAATCTGATTGTTCTATTGAAAGGAGTACTATAGTACTCTTTTCAATAGAACAATCAGATTTTTCTGTAATTTAAATAAGCATTAAAAATGACTTATAAGTTATTTTTAATGCTGATTTAAATTGCATTGGCGTTGGTCTGTCATTCCAACCTCCTTTGCTTCGTATTAATGCAAAAAAAAAAAAAATAATAATAATATATATATATATATATATATATATATATATATATATATATATATATATATATATATAATAAAATGCAAAAAAAATATATATATTTTTTTGCATTAATACGAAGCAAAGGAGGTTGGAATGACAGACCAACGCCAATGCAATTTAAATCAGCATTAAAAATAACTTTACGTTCTTAAGTAACTTTTCAAATCTATATGAGTATTTTTTCAAATCTTAACTTAATATTATAAATACTTATTTTTAAAAATAGTTTTGACAGTTGTATTTTCTCTTTAAATTTAACGTAGAAGGTTGATTTGGAAAGTTGAAAGTTAATGAAACAGCAGTTGCAAGTCCTCTTTTACCACCATTATATGCAAGATAGTATTTGGAAGAACCAAAATGTTCACTAAAAATAGTATAGTTAAAACTAAGTTTTTCACATAATTTTGTATCGACATATTTACGACAATAACTACAAACCCAAAGCTTGTATCTAAATAATAGGTTAAATCTATTTAACCTAGTGTTAAATTATTTACATTTATATTATGTATAAATACTTTTTATTTCATAAAACTTAAAGTAAAACAATGTTTTAAAAGCTCCTTTAAATTCGTGTTATACTAGTTATTTAAAAAATTTGATTCGATTAATAATTACTTACCTATCTTTATCATTTGGAAATCTAAAATAAGATTTATTATTTACAACATTCTTTACACGCTTGTTTACACAACTGATTGCTAAGCAAAAGGTTGTCATATTTAATACTATGAGTATTTAGAGAACAAGTAACTTTGTTCTTGAAAAGCAAAATCAAAAAATATTATATAATATATTTAGTAGATAACAATGTGTATAGTCGTTTACAACATGGTCTCGCAAAACATCAAATAGTCGAATGTACGGCCAAATACACTTAAATATATCGATTTTAACCAACATTCCCGATGAATTATTTCCCGGAGAATTTTTTCTCGGGGACTTTTTTTTCCAAGAAATAATAAATTTTATAAATAAAGGTGGACATTGTTTTTTTAAAAAACAAAACAAAAAACAAACAACAACAAACAAACAAACAAACAGAATTACCTCTAAAAGCCTGGAAACAATTACTAATATAGTTAAAACTAGAATGTAAGTACGTGAATTAAAGAGTAAAAGAACGGTTGACAAAAAAAACTTTTAAAAAAAGTTAACTGTATGAAAAAAAAATCATGATCTTGTGCAAATTCAGAAATGTCGCATTTTTTTATTGTAACTCTTTTACAATAAATAAAAGAAATCAAACAAAAATGCATTTTGGTTGGTGGATCAAGAAATGGTAGCTTAATTGAGCTGCAACCATGGTACTATTTTTAGAAAAGAGAAAGGTAAGCAACATTACAAGGATGTGGCAAAGGCTCAATCTTAGAAGATCAATCCAGTCCTACCACATGTAAAAAATGAACCGAAAAAAATAAAAAATAAAATTAAATAAAAAAGTTACAATGATTGTTACGATTCATCAATATAGAAATATTAAAAATATTGTGATTATTATCAGCAATTAACAACTGAGTATTGTTTGTTCAGCAAATTCAGCAACCACTGCCAGCCAGCATTATCTGTCACATAAAAAATTACATTCAAAGTGAGTATTTTTTATTAAATCTGTAATATACAGTTAATTTATCAACAAATTTTGACTCGCTTTTGTAGTAGTAACCACTAATACTATTTTGTAATTGTTATTTCAGGTGCTACATTCCAGCATCCAGGAATACAAGATTTTATTAAAAAGTTGTTAAAACACTTTTTTAAGGTTGTGATAAATGTTGTAAGGAACTGCTGTAGAAAATTTAAATAAGTAACTTGGATAGCGGGTAGCTAACAATAAATCAAGCTGTTTCTCTGGGATGCCAGTAAGAATATCTTCATTAAGTCAGTAGATAAATTAAAGGAAAACATTTTGAAAATAGTATTGCTATATATTAGAAGAAGTTAAAAGATTAATGATAAATGTGATGTTAAGATTGCATAAGATAATATTATTAAAAGATAGGTATAAATGTAAATGATTCATAAAATAAGCTAGAAGAATTTGAATTAAGTATAGATAGTACTACCCTAAGCAATAAACTATGCCGTTGTTTTATTTATGCTATACAACCCAAAGTTTTAAGAAAGAATTTTTACAAGATCAACCATGCACATTAAAATTAATAAAACTTTTAGTAAAAGGAACAACATCCACACTCAACATAAAATTGTAATTACTCTAATACTTTACAGCTGTTAATGGAATAAACTTCTTTTTTGTAAAATTGTTTTTATTTATGCTAGCCTATTAAGTTAATTAGGTGTTCAAGGCTGGTCAACAGATATTTTCCATGATAAATATTTTTTATATATATCTCAACTAAGAGCCATGAAGGAGGTGAGTATTTTAAGTCAAGTTAATTTCTTATCGTTTTTGCCAAAAATAAAAAGTCCAAGTATGTTTATATAATTTACACAGTGGTACTAAAACAAGCAACCTTAAATTTAAAAAAAAAAAAAAACAACATTAAAAATTTTTCTTCTTTTTTCTTTTATTAATTTTGCTTTTGTATAACAAAATATTGTCTTCTTGGAGATTGAGAGATGGCTACAGAAGTATTAAAAAAATAATTATTATAAATTTTACTACATATATATATATATTTATATATTTATATATATATATATATATATATATATATATATATATATATATATATATATATATATATATATACACATTTATGTATATTTTTCTTCTTTCAGCATATTTTATTGCCCCAGATTCAAGCATGTATTCAATTTATGAAGCATCATTCTTCTCGAACAATTTAAACGTTAACTTTAACACTATATCTAAAATTTTAAATCTCACTACTACTGATATTCAACCTATAAATTCATTCAATACAGAGTTTGATGGGTTTCAAGTTGCATGGTTTACAATAAAATTAAGTAAAATTCAATTAGTTCATCAATTTATTGTTATGTCAAGCAACGAGAATGGTTTAAATTTCATCAAAGGAATATCTTTATCATTTCGAATAAATGAAACCAGAAATTTTATTATATATAAAGAAAATAATGAAACAAAGGTATGGTAGTTAAGTTTATTCATGATATATTTCTATATATGTTAGACTAACATAATGTTAGTCATGTTTTTTTTAATCATTTGTTAAAAAAAGTTTTAAGATGTATTTAATTTTAACTAAAAAACTTTAAAAATAAAGTTATTTATTAGAAATTATAATCAGGCTTGAAATAAACTTTTTTCTGATAAGATTTAAAGTAACTTAGAATTTGATTTAGATAATCTTAATGACTAACTTTTAATTGGCATAAAGTAGAAATTCAACTTTTTGTAATATCTTAATAAATTTTTTGTTTTTTCTCTGTAAAAATACTATTTCCAAAAAGTGATAGTTCCAAAAAATATTTTCAAATACTATATCTTTAATTAATCAGTTTATTTCGGAACAGAAATAAACTATTACTTAATATTAAAGGTTGAACTTTTTTAACACCTTTGATAAACATGTTACAGGTTTTCATTGGCTTTTGCAATAAAATATGATTGGATTATACAACTCATTTTTGCATGATGTAGCTAATTAAGTGCCACATTGTGAAGTGCCTCCTTATATAGAAAGTTGTTTTTTAAATACTTTACTTTAAAAAAGTATTTATAAGTACTTTTTCTATGTGAGACTATTTTTTTATGTCAAGTGTAAACTTTTCAGTAAAGTTTTTTTTTGTAAATAGTTTACAATGATCAACAGATAGCTTATCAATATATTTTTAATTAAAAATATATTTTGCATGTATTTAACATATGAAAAAAATATATTATATATAAAATATTTTAAATAGTTTTAATAAATAAATACATGATATTAAACAATGGCATTTATAATACTATATATATATATATAATATATATATATATATATATATATATATATATATATATATATATATATATATATATATATATATATATATATATATACAGCTTAGATTACAGTTTATTAGGAAGTCGAGTATTGGTATAGGGGAATTTCCATTTCTGTGCGTGATTTTTTATTTTTCTTTGTTTTAGCAATTAAAAGCTGGGACTTTATGCAATATGCATACTATTTTGATTTTCTTAAAGAACAATTATAACTAAAATATTTTTATCATATTTTAGGCTATCTGAATAAATTAAATATACGCATTTTTACAATTTTATTTTTTTGAGTAATAATATCGCTACATTTTGAAAAATATACAATAATTTTTAAAACGCCATACTCTAGCTAGAAATAATTGATGACTGCCGTTTCTCATCAAAAATATATTAAATATGAGTTGCAGAAGTATAATATTTTACTTGAAATACTCACTAGCAATTTATTTTCATAAAAATAACTACATGAAATTGACAAATTTGTAACATCCGTGCGTGACTTCTGTGCGTGATCATTCATAAACTGCATTTAAATGATTGCTGTGACTCTATGATTCATAGTGCAATCCTGTAACTTTCTGGAAATCTTTACTAATGTTTAAAATATTATTTAAAAAAAAAAGTATACCGGTGAAACTTATATTGTCCGAGGAGTTAAAGTTTATTTATCTAGTAACTAAAATAGAAGTTTTTCTGTTCCTTGCGTGATTCCATTTCAAACTTTATTTATTCTTTGTTAACATTACTAATTCTTACTATTTTTTTTTTACAAAATATTTATATTGATTAGAATTAAATGAGAGTAAATTGGAGATCGCTAGTTTTATTTTTATGAAAATAAAAGTAAAAACATATACGAGTTTTCTTTATTTATAATATCAAATATTTTCACACTAACTTTGTTATCTTAATTTGAAAAAACCACTGTAAAAAAATTACAAGTTGTGCAAATAACTGTATAATTTGCTTTGGAAAAAAATAAAGTTATGGAAAACAATGTCGCTGTTATTTTTTATGAACTTTTTTAATACTACATAATATAATATTAGTATTGTATTTCCACTGCTCACTACTGTATTTTCCTATTTTACTCATTAATTTTTTTCTTTTAAGATGTTATCACCATTCCATTAAAGTTATCTACTGGTTTTCAAATATTCAGCCATTGCTGAAGTTTTTCCTTTACCTTGATGCAAAATTATTTAATATTGGCATGTATGAAATGAAATCTTGTCTTGTTTAACCTATATAATATTTTCCACAAGAGCACTTTAACTAATAAATATAAACTGGATATAAACTTTCTGTAATGCAAGGCTTTTTTTGTTAAATAGTTGAATTTTTTTTATAGTAATTTTCTGTGTTAACAAAGAAAATGAGCATCATATCCTTAGAATAAAAAAATCATTTTACAATAAATTCTTAAACTAAAAAACTTAAAGTGTGTAAAATTCTATATGTGACAATAAAAATGTACTTTTTTTAGTACCTCTTTTAATTTTAAATAATTCAACGTTTATAATTATATGAATTTTAACAACATAAAAATTATTAAAAATACTAAAAAAAATACTCTAACAATTTGAAAACATTGTAAAAATATTTAAATAACTGTAGTAAATGACATTTAATTTCAGCTTTTGATCAAAAATGATTAACATTAGAAAATTCTTAAAGCAATTATAGCAGAAAGAACTCTATGTAAAAATGGATTATGGCCCAAATGTAATGTAATTAAAAAATTTATTAATTGGTAAATCTTTTAGTAAACTTATTTTAGGTACAATAAAAACTAGTGCTATATTGCATAAAGGTTTAAAAAAACAATCAAATAAAGGCAAATAATTAAAATAAAAATTTAAAAAAAGTAAAAAATAATGTTTTTCTAAGTAAATATTTTTTTAAAATTAAAAACCGTATAAATTTTTTCGAAAAAAGTTAAAAAAAGTAACTCTTAAGTAAAATATTTTATTTTTACAATACTTTTAAAGTTGATACTAAGCAATATGTCTTTCTTATACCAGAAACCACTTTGCAAAATCCACTAATTTAATATTTAAACTTTTTTAATATACAAACATTGACAGGCATAATCAACACCTTTGATAAAATTGTTACAGGTTTTCATAGGCTCATTGCTTTGCAATAAAATATGATTGTATTATTCAATTGTATAGATTTTATTATACAATCCATTTTTGCAAGATGCAGCAAATCAAGTGCCACATGCCATACATGCCAACTTTATGATGTACCTCTTCATATAGGAAGTTATTTTATAAATTCCTCACTTCAGAAAAGTATTTGTAATTGTGTTTTTTCCATGTGAGACTATTTATTTTTCGTCAAATTAAACTACTCAATAAAGCTTTTATTTGTGAATAATATTCAATGATAAACAGATAGCTTATCAATATGGTTTTAAAAATATTTTAATACATGTATTTAACATATGAAAAAAATTTAACATAAAGCATAAAATACTTTTAATAGTTTTAATAAAAAAATACATAATATAAAATAATGGCATGAAATATATATAACTATTATATATAATATATATATAATATTATATATAATATATATAATATTATACATAATATATATAATATTATATATGATATATATAAAACTATATATGATATATATAATATTATATATCGTATATATAATTATATATATCATATATATAATTATATATATTATATATAAAAGTGTATAATAATAATAATAATAATAATAATATGGATATATATACATATATATATATATATATATATATATATATATATATATATATATATATATATATATATTATATATAATATTATATATAATATATATAATATTATATATAATATATATAATATTATATATAATATGTATATATATATATATATATATATATATATATATATATACATATATATATATATATGTATATGTATATATATATATATACATTATATATATATATATATATATATATATATATATATATATATATATATATATATTATATACAAGGTATTTATATATATATATATATATAATATACAAGGTATATATATACACATATATACAAGGTATATATATATAAATATATATATATATATATAATATATATACCTTGTATATATGTGTATATATATACCTTGTATATATGTGTACATAAATACCTTGTATATTATATATATATATATATATATATATATATATATATATATATATATATATATATATATATATATATATATATATATATATATACATATTTAAATATATATTTTCAAAGGTTTTTACAAGCAACTATATTAGTTTAATGTGGTTTTGTTATACTTTGATAAATCCCTTTATGGCTTCAGAAATCAGAATAAATATTGATTCAGGAGATTCACTTATGAATTTTAAAATGGATTTCAGATTTATTGAATCTATTGAATACCAATATAGTAAGCTTTTTATTATTTATTAGCATATTTTAAAGTGATTTTAAATACACTAAGGTGTTATTTATAATACTATTTTTTATTTTTATTTTTATTCTTTGCATTAAAACTTACTTTCTTAGTAAGTTTACTTTTGTAATTCTTATTAAAAAATTAATAGCTATAATGCCAAATGTTATCAATTTTTTTTATTGGGCACAAAATAAAAAATTGAAGGTAGCTGGTTAATTTGACTGCGCAACACATAGATTTGATGGTCAACTGTTTTTATCGACCGGTCAATTAAATTTTTTTTTTTGTGTTTTAATTTTTTTTTATAAATTTTGTAAATAAAAAAATATTCTATGCTAAAAAATTATTACTTTAGACATGATTTTAAATCAATCATTGCTTTTTTTTTAATGAAAATTTACGACAAAGTTTTACAGTAAATAACTAATGCTCCAATTAACAGGTTGAAATAGTGTTATACTGAAATAGCTCACATGTGATAATTAAATACAGAGTTTTGATTAAAAAGGGAGGTTTGCTAACATCAGAGTAATTTTAGATGTTTTATATTTTTGAACACTTAACTTTTAGTTAACTTGTTTAAATTTTTTATACAATATTAAATTTTTATAAAATTATTAACTAAACATTAGAAATATTTAATTTAAAAACAATTTTAAATTTTTTACCCCTAATGCTTCACAACGCATGAAGAGGTTTTTAAAAATTACCAATGCTAATCGATTTCTTGATAATTCAATAAAGAAATGCGCTTATGACAAGTATAATTATTTAAATTACAAAATAGAATAATTGCGCTCATTCATTGCAATGAATTCACAAATAATGGCAAATTTAAGGCAATTATAAAACTTTAAAAAGTTTTTTAAAAAGATTTACTTAAGAAAAATGTAATGAAAAAATTGAACGAGAAGAAATGATTCAAAGTGTAAATGCCTATTTTTTGAAACTAAGATTTATTTAACTGGTCAACCTTGACTGGCAAGAACTCATTTAGGAAGATCAAAACAGCAACTTTTCAGGTGATCCTTGATCTTTTTATTCAGGTGATCCTTGATCTTTATTTCGCTTGTTATTTTGCTGGTTGGGTTGCACAATTTTATATATTTTTGAAATGTATTATTTATTGCTGAGAAGCAATAAATTATTTTAACTACTTTGAAAATTATTTAAACAAATTTACTTAAATAAAATAAAGGAATTGTAAAATTTTATAACTTTTAATAACAATTATCTTTGATTACACCTAATTACAAATTTAAGTACAAAACTAGAGTACAAAAGTAGAAAAGTGAACTGAAATTATATTAAAAAAAGTTTTAAGTTTTTATTTTAAGTTTTATTTAATACAAAAGTAAATTTAAGTTATTGTCAGAAAAAACTAATTAATTCAATAAGATAATTAAAACACAAAAGTATAGAACTAAAAATATCTACAAATCATTTTTTAACAGATCTTCTCTAAAATTTTTCTCAACATGTCACCACTCTATCTTTTTAATCAGTTTCTGAAACAACTACATTTTTTCTTTTTAGATAAACCAACCATTGAATCATTTGTATTTTCAAAAAGTGATTTGTTAATAATGAGATTTAATGCATCGAGTTTAATCACTGGACTAACATTTGATACTATTGATCAATTATTGGAGTTTTGTATCTATTATGAAGTAAATGGTAATTACTTACCATACAAAGATAACAAGCTGTTTAATGATACTATTGTGAGAATAATTTTTTTTTGTTTGGACTTTTATAGATAATTTTTTTATTTTAAATTTTATAAATAAATTTTTAAAATTCAATGTTTTGATATTCCCGTCTTATTTAGATTTTTATACTTTTTTTTTTCAAATTTTCAATTATTTCATTAAAGTGCATTTACTAACTGTCAGAACCGTACGATACAGGTCATGGTGAGTCTGTTTCACACCCAATTATTTCTAAACTTGTTCTTAATTTGGTCTCTATACTTCAATAAATTTTAGTAAATCGCAAGCTGTTTTTAATATTTGGCAATTAAATTATTATTATACCTGTTGTTTGTGCTGAAAATCGATACTTAGTGCAAATGGAAACTGTCTAGATCATAATCAAGGTGATAAAAGGGTCCATTCACATATAAAATTATAATGCAAATATAAAAAAACAAAGCAAAAAAGCCAATAGGTCCATACAAAATAATAATTACAAATAGAAAAAATATAGAAATTTACTTGAGAAACAAAAAACATATTTTTCTTGAGAATAAACATATAAACTAAAAAAAAAAAAAAAATTAAAAAATATTCTATATAAAAAAGTATCAAAAATACTTGTAAAAGCAATATGAATTATAAAATTGTTTTATTATTATACAGTGAAGAAAATAGAATTAGCCTCACCATTTACTCATCCAATATTTTGTAAATCTGCAAGCAAGTTTGTGTGGTGCATCTTTTGTATCTACACACATTATGTGTATTTTGGTCTGGTGATATGCATTTGTGACTTTTTTATAACTATTTGTAAGTTAAACAAAGACTGTGAAATCAGTGCTCATAAAGTTTATAACATTTGGTTTTTGATACCTTAGTTTAAAATGGGACGTGGTGAGCGTTTAACGAATGAAGAATTAGCATTAATCAAAGCATACAAATATACATGCTTATCTAATTGGGAAATTGCAAAGAAAATTAAAAGATCTTCAAAAGTGGTTAACAGTTACTTCAAGATTGGCGTTAATTATGGAGCTTATTAAGTGGTGACTAACGTAAAATTGATAATCATAATAAATGAGTTATTGTTTGTTG